ATAATAAATAATGCTATATTTAATAATGCTGTAAAACAATTAAATAAAATATTAAATAATGCTAATTTAAATGTTTCAAAAGCTTACTTGCATTTAATAAGAAGCTGCGTGGGCGAAAATTACATGTAAACAATTTTATGGCTATTTTGGCTTTGCTCATCGCTGGTCTGGTTACTGGTATAGGGCTAAAGCCAAGCTGTTAAAATTAGACCACAAATTGCCTCGATTTCGCCAGGTGGGCTAAAAGCAGACTACAGGTAGCCCGTCCAATTTAGAGCTAAATCGTGGCTACATATAGACCATGTCATGAAATGACTCTTATTTTGTAGATATCATTGACACGGCAAACATGATGGGATATCAATCATCTCATGCGCTGTCTGGCCAAAAACTACAGTGAATCAGGTTTGACTATAAGTGGGCTACAGATAGCCGCTCTGACTATGAGCTAAATCATGGCTATGCACAGGCTACGTATTAAACATGTCAAAGAAATGAAACCAAACACCTTGTAAACGCTACTTTGCTTACATGATGGAATATCATACAACTCAAAAGTTATTTTGCCAAAAAACGACATGAAACCAAATTCAAGGTTATTTGGGCTAGAAGTGGGATACACGTAGCCGGACTCAGGTCTATACTTAACCCAGACGTTGAAATGATGGCTATTGCTTGCTGGGAACTATCCTAAAATGGCTGTTGCCAGCAATCTTCCTCGGAATATAAACATTTTAGAAACATTTGACGATAATGAGCTTTTAAAAAGGTATCGGCTTTGGTTTGGAGGTTATCCCAACTCCAAATATTTGATTATATCCTTAAAGGGGTCGTATGATGATGCTTAAAAGAACATTATTTTGTGTATTTGGTGTAATGAAATGTGTTTATGCGGTTTAAGGTTAAAAAAACACATTATTTTCCACATACTGTACATTATTGTTTCTCCTCTATGCCCCGCCTTTCTGAAGCGCTTCGATTTTTACAAAGCTCATCGGTCTGAAAAAGCGAGGTGTGCTGTGATTGGCCAGCTATCCAGTGCGTTGTGATTGGCCGAATACCTCAAGCGTGTGACGGAAATGTTACGCCCCTTACCACATTGGGATGATGCCCTGTCCGGCCGGAGTGATGATTCAAAAACATGAAAACCCATTATAAACGAGGCATTCGTTGCATCCAGTGGGGACATAATTATGGATTATAATGACTTATACTGTCTTTTTACGCGTTGCGTTGCGTTGCATCGCGCCGCGTAAACATAAAACCAAAACAAAAAACTCGCTTTAAATATATAAAATATAAAAACTCTTTAAATATAAAAAACTTACTTACAGTCTTTGAGTCAGAACAGCCGGCATTGTAGTCTACTCTACCAGGATCAAGAAACGGTCCTCCATAAAATGTGCTGCACACATCTGAATATTTGGGTTGAAGTGTTCTGGAACAGTGTTGTAAACACAACTTAACCACTGATTTCTAGTCGTGTCCATTTTTGGAAGGCCAAACAAAGTAGTTTCGCTTTCACAACGAAACAGCGTCACACATGGCGGCCTACAGTGAGCAGAGGCCGGGGGCTAGCGTGAGGAACGGCGGGGGGGGTAGAGGGAGCAGAGTTTCTTCGATTTCGACGAAGGAGCGTCCGGAAGGACATGTGACGACTCCGGGCTGGACTCCGCTTTGTCCACGGTGAAAGCTGATCCAGCGATCCAAAGTTTTAGTATTTCCTCAGCAACCAGCACGGATCAGCTCCAGGCATGACAAAGCAGATATCGTCCTCTTTTGGAAGACCAAACAAAGTAGTTTCGCATTCACAACGAAGCACACAGCGTCTTTACGACATGGCGCCGGTGGCAACAACAAAACTACAGCGAGAATAAAAGTTACGCCTTTTTTCTTTGCGTGAACATTTGGGAGGCGTTATGCAAATCTTCCCACATAGCGACGTAGACATGTGGGGGCGTGTTAGAACGAGCCCTTAGGCGTGGCTGACTCTTCACTTTTATAAAGAATATCTCTTTGGATTTGAGGCTTTAGTCTTTGCAACTTTACAGGTCTTCTTTATGCACCAAGAGCTTGTAACACACCCAAAAAAATTGAAATCGCATCATATGACCCCTTTAATATATAGCTGTTCTCATGACCAGTTTGGTTTTCTTTTATGTTTACATGTCTTACTATCCTCCATGATTATTCTACTCTGCTAATTAAACGGCTGTTTATATGCATATTACCAAAATTGCATTAGTCGCAGAAAAAAAAAATTCCACATAAAGTGGCGAAATCACGCAGTCCGTGACGGACAAATCGTTAACGGCTGGTAATACAGTACATCGGGCAGGACAGAAGCTCATCGTTCTGAAAAGCGAGGTGTGCTCTGATTGGCCAGCTATCCAGTGCATTGTGATTGGCCGAATACCTCAAGCATGTGACGGAAATGTTACGCCCCTTAACACACTGTGATTGTCTCACCGGCACGGCGAGACAAAACCAATAAAACCCATTACAAACGAGGCATTTGTTGCATCCAGTGGGGACATAATTACTGATTATAATGACTTATACTGTCTTTTTACGCGTTGTGTTGCGTATCACGCCACATAAACATAAAACCATGTCTGCATTTGTGATCGGAGAAACGACAAACAACAAGCGCTACTCGTGTTTGAATCATCAGTGGCAAATTCTTAAAAAATGGGTCCTATTATGCTCTTTTACAAGGTCTTGATTTTGTTTTGGGGGTGTACTAGAACATGCTCTCATGCTTGGTGGTTTGAAAAACGCATTATTTTTCACATAATTTACATTATTAAAGTACCTTTCTCCCCAGCCTGGCACAAATGGCTCGATTAGTTCCGGCTTTGATTAAGGCCTGCCTTCCGAAAAACAAAATGTGTTGTGATTGGCGAACAGCTTAGACGGTGTTTCAGTACTGCCACGCCCCCTTTGCGCCGTCTTTCAACAAAAGTTTTTTGGCGAAACCGGCACTGTACTCCCTCATGTTGTGGAAGCTGTCTTCAGTAAAAATGCGCAGCACACAATAGCAAATTGGGGTTATAAGGATCAGGAACAGTGTTAAAGATAAATTGCAACCACGGTTTCCTGACATCATCCGCTTTCGGAAGCCCAAACAAAGATGTTTGGGCATGGGGGTGAAAAAAAACTGCGTTTCTTAAGGTGGTCGCATACCGGATGAGAAGCGCAACGCAACGCAGTGTCACGTCGCGCCACGTCTTTAAAATTCGAACACATTATTTTCTATGAGTGTACTCACACCAGCGGCGCCATTCGGCGTCTGTCCGCGGCGCCTAGCTACGTCATGTTGTACTTGTTGTAAGAATTGTTCTAGACGCGGCGCTGAACTTCTCTCCGTCTACGGTGTGCGACTGCCTTTAGACATGCCGAAAACGTGACACTACAGCAGCTCTTCTTCTTTTTCGTTATGCACTAACTCTGCAGCAGCACTTCTTCTTCTTCGTCGTCTCGTCTGATGACCTCAACCAAACGCTCTAACCACGACCTCGCCCCTCCCCACCCCCCAACCATTCGAATCTCCGTAGGCGGGAATTATTTTAATGATATTCTAATGGGCCGCTTTGTGATATCACAAAACCCGGAAAACAAATGCTGTAGTCCAAACGAGCCGTTCTTGAAAAGGGATTTTTAAAAAACAAAATATCTCCCTTTGGAGTGGACTTTGAGATTTGTAACTTTGTAGATCTTTTTTATGCCCAAACATACACACTACACACTGGCTAAAATTAAAAAAGTGAAAAAGCATAATAGGACCCCTTTTAATATAAAAAATGTACTTACAGGCTGTGAGTCAAAAACGCCAGACTGTCCTTGCAAAGTTGGAACTGCCCCACTTTATAGAACAGCCTTTGAGCACAGACCCGTTGTATGCTACTCTGCAGGTTCAGGAAACAGTCCTCCATAAAATGCGTCACACACTGCGGGCTTGAGTGAGCAGAGGCCGGCAGGCTTGAGAACGGCGCGGCCGGCAGATTCGACGAAGTAGCGGCTGGCGGGCTTGCGGCAACCACATGTGACGACCCCGGGCTGGACTCCGCTTCGTCCACGGTGAAAGCCGATCCGGCGATCCACAGCGCGAAGTTTATGTATTTCCTCAGCGACCAGCACAGATCAGCTCTAGGCATGACGAAGCGATATCGTCCTCTTTTGGAAGACCAAACAAAGTAGTTTCGCTTTCACAACGAAACAGACGGCATCTCCACAACATGGCGCCGGCAGCAACAACAATACTACAGCGAGAATAAAAGTTACACCTTCTTTCTTTGCGTGAACATTTGGGCGGCGTTATGCAAATCTTCCCACATTGTGACGTAGGTATGTGGGGGCGTGTTAGAACGAGCCGTTTTAGGTAGGTGTGGACAAGTCTTAACTTTTATAAAGAATATCTCTTTGGATTTGAGACTTTAGTCTTTGCAACTTTACAGATCTTCTTTATGCACCAAGAGCTTGTAACACTCCAAAGAGAAAGGGAAAATTGAAATCGCATCAGATGACCCCTTTAACTGTCTTTTTTGGTCATGTCCGACTAACAAGCCCAGAACCGAGGAAGTTGAATCAGTTTTATTTAGGAGTTTATGTATTATGTAGTGATTTTTGTTTTAAGTATGGTTTTTATGTCTAAATTTTGCAACCAATTTTCCTAATTATTTTATTTTTATATTTTTTCATTTATTTATATGTTTTAAAAGAAGAACCAAGGACATGAGTTAGATGGAATGGATGGAATGCTACAAATAAAATGTAATGGAAATATTTTACAAATTACTTCTTTATTAACACATAAATAGTTAAATAGTTTTAATAAATAACATTTACTAACGCAAAAAAAATGAATGCAAAAATCTACTATATTTTGAATTATGTATAGGTTCTAAATAAATACGTTTTCATGAGCTGTATCCTTGATACATATAAGTTCTTTGAAACGAACTGTTCGAGAGAGTCCCAACACCAGTTCTAATACCGATCCAAATCTCGCGAGAACGGACGAGGGGATAAGTTAAGGAAACATGGCGATGCCTAATTTGTTAAAGGTAAGATACATTTTAGCTCGTTGCCTCCTAATTCTCCATAAACAGTCACGCCTATAACCTTCAAATGAGTATGTTGTACCATTGTGATTTAGCGGCTGGCTCGGATTCTGACCTGCATGTCTAGTGAGTTTATATGAGAATCTGTGTTTAGCTAGCAGGCTGTGAGCTAGCTGAGATTAATAAAGCCAATAATCACAATAATTCTGGACTGCGTGCAGACGAGTTGAAGTCATGATTCACTCCAATGGGTGTTGACCTTCGGTATTATGTTGTTTATAAAATATATATAATAAAGGGACATGTTCCTGTTGGCAGTTAGCACGCATGTTGTTAGCTTGGTCAATGGTTAAATGAGACTGAGTGTAATGACTGAGCTAATGGTATATAATGCGAATCTGTGCCGTTACTGTTAAGAGTTTCATGTTTTAGTAAGCCAAGAAAAGATGCACATGTCATGTCACTAGTGCCAGATATTATAAGTATTTGAAATATGTCAAGATATCATTCAGGGAGTATGAATAAAAGAGTAGAGGCATTCCATTTGTATAGATGAAGTTTGATTTGATGCAGTTAAATACAGACTTAAAACCCAGTGAGCTGCCTACCTAGACAGCATTTTGGGTATCATAGATGTTTTCAAATGCACCAGTAATGCCCAAAATGCTGTCTAGTTAGGTGCCACTAGTTAGGTCAAATTAAGTCATAAGCTTTTATGAAAAACCTTTGTCTTTTGAGAATTTGACATTTTAAACATAGACTTATTTTTCTTGCTAAAACTAATTAACTAGCATTGATTCATCTTGAATACGTATAATTAAATAATATTTTTACACTAAAAAAAAATTAAACAAGTGATATTTAACCTTTATTTTTACTTTTTTTTGTCGTCATATCTCATAATTCATTCCAAGCTCTTCAATGTCTCCTTGGTAAACAAGTACAACATTAAAAAAATAATAATTAAACGTTATCAGTGGCAGAATTTAGGAAATTAAACCACAGTTGAGGTGCAGTTGTTATTTGTTAATTAAATAATTAGAATTATTTTAAAATTGTTTTAAAAATGTATTTTTAAGATGCATTTTCATATTTTATGATTGAAAGTCTAGGTCTGGTTCAAGGATAAAACAAGATATACTTTTCAAATGCCTTTTATTATATATGTTGAAAGCTTAGTAAGAAATTAATAAAACCAAAGAAATAACAGAAATAATTAATTACAAGTAATAAAACAATTACAAATAATAATACATTATGTACACATTATATTATGTACAAATTCTGTTAAGTTTGAACACATTTAATTTAAAGAAAAAATCAACTCCTAAGACATAAAAGTTTCTTAAAGACATTAGAAATAAAAGAAACTGCCAACTGCTTGCCTTATTGTAAATGCTTTGAGAAGCATTTCCAATAAGGCTTCTGATTTTCTGGCCATGTTTAGACAGAGAGGTCTTCCATTATATCTGGTTCATTGTGTTATATGTGAATGCACTCACACTCTTCTTCTCTAACTGTCTGTCTCTTCCATGTCCTTTTGCTTAGAACAAGGGTTCCCTCCAGTTTGAGGACAAGTGGGATCTTATGCGTCCCATCGTCCTTAAGTTGCTTCGCCAAGAGTCTGTAACTAAGCAGCAGTGGTTTGATCTTTTCTCGTAAGGCCCTATGAATTCAGATCTTTTTATATCCTGCACATTAACTTCAGTCTGAATGTTCAATCTGTCTTCCTGTTCTCCTCGGTTCTCACAGAGATGTTCATGCAGTTTGTCTATGGGATGACAAAGGACCAGCAAAGATCCACCAGGCCCTCAAGGAGGACATCTTAGATTTTATTAAACAAGCTCAAGCGGTAAGAGAGGTTCAGGATTAAGCCACCTGTTGATGTTCTTCAGCAGAATCGCGTCTCATTCTTGATCGTTGGTGTTTAGCGAGTGCTCAGTCACCAAGATGACACGGCGCTCCTCAAGGCTTACATCGTGGAGTGGAGGAAGTTCTTCACGCAGTGTGACATTCTGCCCAAGCCGTTCTGCCAGCTGGAGATCACCCTGATGGGCAAACAGGGCAGCAACAAGAAGTCCAATGTGGAGGACAGCATTGTTAGGAAGGTGAGCGGGATAAAAGCGGGCTTTTTAGGTTGATTTCCTAGAATGGGATTCATCGGGTTGTTCTGCTTTTTATGTTCTCAAAGCTGATGCTGGATACTTGGAACGAATCTATATTCTCCAACATCAAGAATAGATTGCAAGATAGTGCGATGAAATTGGTCCATGCCGAACGGCTGGGAGAAGCGTTTGACTCGCAGTTGGTCATCGGGGTCAGAGAGTCATATGGTGAGATTCACTCCACGTTTTTCATTGACTCGAGTGAATCTTTCTATTCATGAAAACTGAAAAGAATCTCTTTCTCAGTGAACCTGTGCTCAAATCCTGATGATAAACTGCAGATCTACAGGGATAACTTTGAGAAAGCCTACCTAGACTCCACTGAGAGGTTCTACAGGACCCAGGCGCCGTCCTACCTGCAGCAGAACGGAGTACAAAACTACATGAAATATGTACGGCCTGCCAGACATCAGAGTTTAGACTACATGATCTTCAACCGATCAGATTGCATAGCGGAGAGGAGAGTTATGACTCCTGCCAACCCTCTGCATTTGTGTTTGCTGTCATATATTCTCATGTCTCTGTTTACAGGCAGATGCTAAATTAAGAGAAGAGGAGAAACGTGCACTACGATATTTAGAGACAAGACGTGAATGTAACTCTGTACAAGCAGTGAGTATATGATTGGCTTTTTTAAAAATAATGATACATTGTGTGTAGAAATAAGGCATTGAATTGAACAATTTTGCATAAAATAGGGCATCAATCATTAAAATATTTTAGTGTTTTGTGTGTAAAAATATTAAAAGTCATATTAAAAATGAAGTTATTAAATGTTTAATATTTAAAATAAAATAATATAACCAGGTATGTGAGTCTGAAATAGTGGATTTGTTTTTTTCCTCAGCTTATGGAATGTTGTGTGAATGCACTGGTAACGTCATTTAAAGAAACTATCTTGGCTGAATGTCCAGGCATGATCAAACGAAATGAGACTGACAGTGAGTATGAGACTACTTTGAAATCTTATTTTAGATAGATATCTAAAATAACCCTTTTAGGTTTTATATACACTACCTTTACAAATTCGGGGGTCTTTAGGATTTTATTTTATTTTTTAAAGAAATCTCTTATGCTCAACGAGGCTGCATTTATTTGATCAAAAATACAGTAAAAACACTAATATTGTGAAGTTATTGCAAATTAAAATAGCTGTTTTGAATCTGAATATATTTTCAAATGTAATTTATTCCTGTGATTGCAAAGCTAATTTTTCAGCATCATTACTCCAGTCTTCAGTGTCACATGATCCTTCAGAAATCATTCTAATATGCTGATTTGCTGCTCAAGAGTAATTTGAAAACGTGTGCTGTTTAATATTTTCGGGGAAACTGATGTTTTTTTTTCTGGATTTTTTGATGGATAGAACGTTCACAAGAACAGCATTTATTTGAAATAGAAATCTTTTGTAACATTATAAATGTCTTTACTGTCTCTTTTGATCAATTTAATGTGTCCTTGCTGAATAAAAGATAAAAGCATTCATTTCTGTCATCACAAATGCTTAATGACACCACGCTTTTGAATGCTACTGTGTTTTTCAGAAAAATAGACTTTGCATATTATGTAGCTGTATAATATCTCTAAATATAAGCTTTTATACCTCGGTGAACTCTTCTTCCACAGAGCTGCACCTCATGTTCTCTCTCATGGATAAAGTGCCCAATGGGATTGAACCAATGTTGAAAGACTTGGAGGAGCACATCATCAGTGCTGGACTGGCAGACATGGTGGCTGCTGCAGAGACCATCACAACTGTGAGCACAACATTTGCAGAATTATTATATGCTTTGTGAGCTTTATGAATTTTAGAGCATTAGCTGGATTTTGGTGTTCACAGTATAAATAAAGGATAATTGATTAATGTTGATAAGATGAATATTTGATTAATGGTCATGGTTTTACTTGATTTATAAAAAAAAAAAAAAAAGAAGCTTTTTCTTCTGAGAATTGGAGGGAGTTGTGGTCTGAGTACCCTTGATTTCTGCATCTTCACTGCCTGCATTTAAAACTTGACCTTTGTGTTAGGATAGATCCTCAAATATTAGGCAGCTACAGTCAAGTACTGGCGTTGACATTTGTGTTGATGTTTCTCCTCAGGACTCTGAGAAGTACGTGGAGCAGCTCCTGACTCTGTTCAATCGATTTAGTAAATTAGTGAAGGAAGCGTTCCAGGATGATCCTCGGTTCCTTACAGCCAGAGACAAAGTGAGCATGGCGCCCTATCCATATTCATTCTCACTGTCTTACAGTTGGCCTCAGTAAGTAGCCTGCATGACTAGATCACACCGCAGATGGTTACCAGAGATCTGTGATGGCACAGGAATACAGTGGAAGGTTATATAACAATAACTCCATTTGAAATGCTGTTGATTTTTCTGGAAAATTAATAGTTGTTTATTATTTTGAATGAATGGAGTTTTTGTATCTCACATACCTTTTTAATGATGTTTAACATATGGTTTTAAAGGGGTCATATGATGCTTTTTTAAAGATCATTATTTTGCGTATTTGGTGTAACAGAATATGTTGACATGCTTTAATGTTCAAAAAACACATTCTTTTTCAAATACTGTACATTATTGTAGGTCCTCTATGCCCCGCCTCTCTCAAACGCTTCGTTTTCTACAAAGTCCCTCCTTCCGACAAGCGCAGTCTGCTCTGATTGGCCAGCTGACCCAGTGCATTGTGATTGGCCGAACACCGCAAGCACTCGTAGGAAATGTAACGCCCCTTACCATAATCACGAGCTTCATCTTTCAAAATAAATGTAAAGACAGAGCCCGAAAGGGGAACAGAGTCACGTGACAGACACAGTGATGAATATGTGTTTGCAGTACACAAGCCACGGTTAAGACAGCTGACTCCACTGTGATGTGTCTCTCTCTCTCTCTCTTGCTCGCTCGCTCGCGCACACACACACACCGCTCTCTCTCTCGCGCGCGCACACACACACACACCGCTCTCTCTCTCTCTCCCTCACGCACACACACACACACACACACACACACAATGCGCAAAACTCCGCATTTGAACAGTCAATAGCAAATACTTAAAATAAAAACAAAACAGTAGCTGATTCAGAAGTGCCAGATTGTCATAGCAAAGTCAGAATGACCTCCTCATCTCCTCATCCTCCTCATTCATTTTATGGACGTTCACGAAACGTCCATAAAATGCATTGCTGTTCTGTTGTAAATAATCTTAAAGATTCCTAAATGCATCTACTTTCGGAAGGCCAAATAAAGTGCTTTTGCTTTCGCACT